ACAAATCAGTTCTCAGTTTCTATTGCATCAGTTATTCCCCTACTATGATTCTTTATATCCCATGTATGAGAAAGATCACTCTCTTTCTGTCCCTTTCCTTCTGACTGACTTCATTCAGCATTATATTCTCCAGATTCATCTACGGAATTGCATGAATTAGTCTTTTCTTACAGTTGAGTCATATTCCTTTGTTTTTATATGCCACAGTTTCTTTAGCCAGTCATTAGTTTCTGTACACTTGAGTTGTGTCCAGATTTTGGCTGCTGTAAGTCTTGCTACAAAGAGCATAAGAGTACCGGTATCTTTTCCGCATAGAGGTTTTGAGCTTTGGGGGAGTTTCCAAGAAATGGTGTAGAAGTGTTGATACTTCTTCCATATTATAGGCTGGCCTTAGCCAACAGCCACACCAGCAGTGTATGGGGGGTTCATTTTTTTTCCCACATCCAGGCCAACATTGCCGATTTTTTCCACTTTCTGATATTTGCCAGTTCTGGAGGCCAGCCTTTCATGAAATGTTAGAGGAATCATAAGCAGGAGCCTGGCTTTACGAAAACAACTCTTGCTTCTCTTCCACTGAATTACATAGCAGTTAATATTCTGAAAATGTCTTGGTGAATGTTGATGTTACTTATTTGTCTGTACTTATTAAAAAAACTATTTAAACACTATCATGTAAAAAATCTTAACAGAGAAGTATTTTGACAGAAAAAAATACTCATCTTTAGAGGTTATTTTAGTATTCAATATTGTCTACAAGTATTGATAGGAAGAGAGTTGTTTAATAAATGATAGATTAACACATCACTGCTTGGGAGGTACATAGATAAAAGATAGATACATTGATGCATGCATGCAGTTTTCTCAATAATAGTAGGTCCCATAATCTCAGAAAACATCAGGAATATTATTAAGATACTGTAAGTTCATGAGCAAATTGAAGAGTAAATGTTTTCTTGGTTTGTACCTTCACATATTGCCATTAGTTACTCATGTGTAACTATTTGAGAAATTTTTGGTAAAATTTTTAACACTTTTGTTGTTCTGCTTAAGTGAAAGAATAGTATAATAGTCAAAAGTATTGGGATGGAGCGATAGCACAGTGGGTAGGGCGTTCGCCTTACACGCGGCCAACATGGCCGACCCGAGTTCAATTCCTCCGCCCCTCTCGGAGAGCCCAGCAAGCTACCGAGAGTATTCGATATGCCAGACACAGTAACAACAAAGTCTCCAATGGAGACGTTACTGGGCCCACTCGAGCAAATCGACGATCAACGGGAGGGCCTTTACCTTTACCTTACCTTTTATTGGGCTATTCTCTGTTCGTTTTCATCAGTTGTGTGCACTGGACAAAATCTTATAACTAAAACCAATCTTTATTTACTCATCTGCAAATGAGAGGATTTAGACAAAGTCTTTTCTAAAATCCCTTTTAGCTTTAAAATTATGTGATACACAGTGGTGAAGGGATTGGTGTTGAAAAATCATCTATGCCTGGAAATCAAATTAAATTTATTTTAATTTATTAATAAATTAAATTTATTTAGTTAAATTACATAACATTAGCTTCCTTTTAAGGGTTACTTTTATCAGTTTTATTTTTGAAGTGAAATCATTACATACCTTTTTGTAACAATAGAAATGCCTTTATTGTTTAAATCAAGAGTGCAAAGTATAGTATGTTTAAAATTTGCTTTATTAAAAATATTCAGAACTTATATTGAAGCAAATTAGCTGAATCTTTGCTTATACACTAAACTTTTTTAGAAATAGTTTTGGGCTGGAGCAATAGCACAGCGGTAGAGTGTTTGCCTTGCTCATAGCCAGCCCGGCCGAGCTGGGTTCGATTCCTCCGCCCCTCTCAGAGAGCCCGGCAAGCTACCAAAAGTATCTCGCCTGCATGGCAAAGCCTGGCAAGCTACCCCGTGACGTATTCAATATACCAAACACAGTAACAAGTCTCAAAATGGAGACGTTACTGGGCCCGCTCGAGCAAATCGATGAACAACGGGAGGACAGTGACAGTGACAGAAATAGTTTTAAGCAGCCTGTGAATATTTGCTTTTTTAATACCTAAGTTTTAATGAAAGTCAAAATATTTTAGAACAGAGTTAATATTAGAACACAGTTTAGTCAGGTACTTATAATATCCCAGTTATTTTTATATCAGTATTTTGACAATAATACTTACATAAATAATATCTGACTCTCTGGAGTAATGGTAATGAATAATTTATTAAATATTGGGGTTATTGCCTTGGCAGAATGTTGGCAGATATTTGTTGGCAATTTTTTTTAAATACTGCTTCTGCTGCTCTGACTACTTTCACTGTAGATAGATCAGCATGCTTAAGGTACATCATCTTTAGAAAAAAGGGACCTTCATTCACTGCTTGTGGGAATGTCTGCTGGCCCAAGCCAATATGGACTATCCACAAAAACCCTGAAATTCATATGACCCAACCCAGCAATTCTACTCCTAGGAATATGCCTCTAAAAACAATGCAGAAAAGACATCTGCATTCCTGTGTTCATTGCAGCAGTATCCACAATAGCCAAATTCTGTAAATAACCCAAATCCCCAAGAACAGACAAATGGATGAAGAATCTGTGATATATCTACACTATGGAATACTATGCAGCTGTTAGAAAAAAAGTGTAATAATTCAATTTGCTGATACATGGATGGATCTGTAAAGTATCATGCTGAGTGAAATGAGTCAGAAGGAAAGGGACAGACATAGAAAGATCACACTCTTTTGTAGGATATAAAGAAACAGAAGTAGAATAATGCCCAAGCACAATAGAATAAAATAGCAGAAGAACTGATCCTTCTTAGGCAGCTTGACACATGTTAGCCAATGGAAGGGACCACTACAACAGTGATGGAGGGAAGCGGCCACTCTGGACCAGTTGAGAACTGGATGTGGCAAGGAGGTAAAGTGAAACACGAGATACCCTTTCTGAAACAGTATTGCAAAGCACAGTGCCTAAAAGGAAAAAAGAAAAAAGTAGCTATTTACAAAGTTAGGAAGGTGAGGAATAGAGCCCCTAATGTGGTTGCCTTGCACACGCGTACCCTGGTTCTATTTCTGGCACCCCATATGGTCCCCTCAGTACCCCGAGCAGCCATCCTGAATACAGAGCCAGGAATCAGGCCTGAGCACTTTCTGGGTATGGCCCCCCCAAACAACCCCCACACTCCAAAAAAAATAAATAAATGAATAAAAAGTTTAAGAAACTGGATCTTTAAAGGCAAATATAGTCAATCACATCGTTTAGCTTTGAACTGTTAGAGACATTTCTTCCCCAGTAGAGCCTAGATCTTAAACACTATACACTTTGTCATTGTGGGTGACGTGAGAAAGACATGCAGTGGAGGCAGAATCTAAATGAACCATTCAGGTAAAAATAGGCAGATCTCCCACCACATCCTTGTGGATGTGTGAATTCCAATCATGAACTGAATAAAATGTCAATGGAATATTTATTCTAAAACATTGACTAAAATTATGAGAAAAAACCCCACCACCCCCGCTTGTCCAGAGCATCCTGTTTGTATTAGAACGCTAAGTGGGCTTGTTTGGAGGCTTTTATAGAAAGATGGTGAAAGTCAAATTCCGTAGAATTCATTATTAATTTAGAATGTATTTTTAATCTCAAAGGGCTTATTTTCTGTTAATGATAATGAGAAAATTTTCTGAATAAATTACATAAAATTATCACTAATATGTTTCATGGATGCCATTAGGTAGAAAAAAACTAATTTGACATCTCATAGGCAGGTTATTATATTAAGTAGTCTTCCTTGTTAAAAAGAAACCATTGAATTGAGTAGGTAAGTACATATCATGAGACGTAATAGTCCTTTAAAATGTGTACTGTCAATTAAAGAAACAATTCCTTAGACATGGATTATCTTTTAAATGCCATCTCCATGTATTTCACACAAATTTTACCTTCTAGGTTTTTCAAAATCTATCTTATTCCTGTTGATTCTAGGTAATGCTAATTTTTATTCTGGATAATGCTCTTTAATCACAAATTTGATTTTGCTTCGTTTGGGTTTGGGAGTCATCTCTAGAAGTACCAGGGGAGCTATCTGCTGAGAACTCCTGGAACCAGGCTCAAGTCCCAGACCTCACCCACAAATAAACATTTTGAAGTGTTTATTTTTTTCACATATCAGCATAGAAACTAGTTTTAATAACACTTTTAACACTGAGAAAAATATAAAATTTTAAGTCCCAAAATTTGCCTTTTTGCTTTGGTTTATTTTACTAGACACAAATGTTAACTTTCTCTCTCTCTCTCTCTCTTCTTCCTTCCTTCCCTCCCTCCCTCCTTCCACTCTCACTCTCTCCCTCTCTTTCTCCCTTGCTTTTGGTCTTGCTTTTAGGCCACATATCTATGGTACTCAGTGTTTACTCCTAGCTTTGAGCTCAGTGATCACTCCTGATATTTTTTTCCTTCTCGTAGACAGATTTTTGAAAATAAATTACTGTGTATATTTTTTCTTTTTTCTGTATTAATTTTGGTACTCTAAGAATACCAATTTATCTTACTTTTCCTTTTTTTCCTCTTTTATTTGTGAGTGATAGCACAGCGGTAGGGCATTTGCCTTGTGTGCAGCTGGCCCACTCGAGCCGGGTTCGATTCCTCCGCCCCTCTCAGAGAGCCCGGGAAGCTATTGAGAGTATCCCGCCTGCACTGCAAAGCCTGGCAAGCTACCCATGACATATTCGATATGCCAGACACAGTAACAACAAGTCTCACAATGGAGATGTTACTGGGCCTTCTCGATCAAATTGATGAACAATGGGAGAACCGTGACTGTGACTGTATGATTTGTTTAATACTTATGTGAATTTTATTTTCAATCTAATATCTTATATTGTAGTGGGAGGGTGCTACAGTAAAACAATTAAGTTGACTGCATCTTTTTTTTCTTTGCTCCCTAGACATCTCATCTTTTTTTTTTATTTTCTTATGATTTATTACAGAGGAGGTTTCTGCAAGGATAGTTCAAGTGGTCACTGCCGAGGCTGTCGCAGTACTGAAAGGTGAACAAGAGAAAGAAGCCCAGCATAAAGATCAGCCTGCAGCTCTGCCTTTAGGTAAATGAGAAAGCCCCAGGTCAGAGGTTGGGAATGCTACAACTTAATCATAGGCTCAAGGTTTTATATTCAAAGATTGACTGTATCTCATAGTTCCTCTTACATAAATCACTCTTCAAAGAATTCTATTGGAATGTACCGTGACTTGTGCCCACCTTTATCAATAGGCTCCTTGTGGTAGTTGGGTGTTTTTTAGGATTGTAAGATTATAATTATTAGGATTATTAGATTCTGCCTTTACATTGATTATAATTTTTCATTTCCAGATTTCTGAGATAGCTATTATCAAAATAAGACTGATAAAATGTTAGTAATGGTCTCCACTTATAACCTGTGTTAGTTTCACTAGAATCATCAGTGACTTTGTGTCACATATGAATATTTGCCTTTTTAGTTTATTTAATGGCAGTGAGAAACTGGGTTTTCTCCCTCAAGCACAAGGTATTTGCCCTCCAGGCCAAGAACGTAATATCCTGAAATTTTCCAAGGAGAACACTGTTAGCCAAAGGCTTAAAATACTCGAGATGGATGGATGGATGGATGGATGGATGGATGGATGGATGGATGGATGGATGGAAAAAGAGAGAAATACCTAATAACATGAATAGATAAATGCATACACAGAGTACCTACATGAATATATAGATTTCTAGATACACAAGTAGATGCATGCAGCGATAAATACATAAAGAGACACAATGATTCTTAGTTTTACCAAATTTATTTTTCAACTACATAATGAATTAATAGACGGGTATGAATCTAAAAACAGTAGATACTTCTTTTCTCTTTTGCATTTTTGTGATATATTAATAGTTGATTTTCTGATCAGTAATACCTCAGTTATCTCATGAAAATAAAAGTTCTGCTTCTCCAGAACAATAATTTAAAATACTTCTGTGATTTTCAGTAAAATGTTCCTAGAATACAAAAGGTTATTTTTTATCTAAAATCATAGAGGGGCAAATTCTTTAAAAATATTAACCCCTGAGTTTCACATTTACTCTTTGAAATTTTTAAAAAGTTCCCTCTTTAAAAAAATGTAAGCCTCCCTCTTTAAAATTTTAAACATTGAAATATATTGTTATAGAAGCTCACCGAGTCAAGGAATTCAAATATTTCTTTTTATTCCAAAGCTGCCTCTGTTGAGTGTTCCATGAAACTAAAATCCGTATGATTTTTAGAATACATTTTAACACTTGCTTTGGCTGATCAGTATTTCCTTTTGAAATACCTTGCTTTTTACACATTCAGAAAAAAGGTAAGTGTTACAAAAAATGAGAACTCCAAGCTAACTGTGAATAATATACATCTTTTATAACCTTATTCATTGATCCATCACATAATGCAGAAGAATACTTAAATCACACTAGCTCAGGATTGCTCCCTGATGGTTTCCTTAAGCTGTGATAGCTTCTTTTTTTTCATTTTTAAAAATGCATACAGAAATAGGATTTGATATTAAACTCAGTAGAAAACAAAGTTTAAAATTATGCCATCTGGGTGACCAAAGTAACATTTTCTGTTTGATCAAATTAAATTATATAAAAAAAGTTTTAGTAGTTTTTCAATCAGCCAATTCAGATCCAAACTAAAATTCTTTCCTGTGTTTTTCTATAGTTGATTATAACCAGAATAAACTATTTTATTGATTAAATAAACAGGTGCAAGGTAATAGAATTAATGATAGACATCTAGAACCCACTTTAATTCATTATATGAGGAAGAAAATGATTTTTTAAAGAAAATATAAAAAGCTATTCTTTCTTTTTAGGTTTTCAAAAATATGTGAATCAGGTAATGGTACTAAAAATAAGTGTAGCACACAATTGAATCTTTCCCTGAATTTAATAGAGAGGTCTTTTTACAGATGGCAGACTGCCTACACAACTACGAGTCTAATAGGATTAATTGTTGTATCTCATTTTTCCATTGTTTGATCTTTAGCAGCTGAAGAGACAGCTAATCTGCCTCCTTCTCCACCCCCATCACCAGCCTCAGAAAAGACTGTAACAGTGGAGGAAGGTAAGGCCAATTGGAGTTTTTGAGGTTTGTCTTCTGATAAAGGGAACAAGAACTTTGCTGCATAAGGCCAAGATTTTAATATGGGTTAAATTATGACCAAATTAGGGATTTATCTGATTAAAATAATTAAGAAGAAACATTGACTTCAAGTAAATGTATAATCATGTACTAATATCCAAAGTAGAGAGATATGGTAACTAAAACTTTATTTCATAAGAGAAAAGATAACTGGGGTAGTAACAGAGAAACAGTCCATTTAATGTGAAATATTTGACAGAGAAAACTCGATCTTATCTTACAGTGACTGAGCAAAAATAATTGATGAAGTTACCACTTCCGGTGGAAGTATTGTCAAAGAATTCTCTCTGTTTTGCTCACTATAAATTGTGAAGGTCTTCTCCCAACGTGATCTGCAGCAAACTCCATAAATATTAATGAATAAATGAAAAAGTAAATGAATGAATCCCACATTGAGAGCAGTGAACTAGGAGCTGAGATCATGCTTCCTTTCCTGCTGAGACCTATTACTGTCCATGAATTTATTTATGCATTTACTCCACATGGAATGCCTTGTCAGCTTTTCATTTCTCAGAGGGATGCCTTTGAAGAATATTCATTCAGAATCTGTGATGAAAAGCCCTATTTAAAAGCAAACTTTTTCTGGTGCAGTGACTTGATTCAGTTAACTTTTTATATATTGTTTGAGAGCTACAGAAGAAGGCAGAGGAGAGCTTTGACCATACTTTTTCACTATAACTTAGTTTTCATAAACTGAAATCAAAAATCCAGTACAATTCCTCTTTGTTTCTTTTATTATTCTTTTGTTGTCTCTTTCAGGGATTATTTTTACTTTATTGAAAAACACTGTAGAAGACTTTGCTCTCTTTTACATAGTATGAAATTAAATTTAAATTATCTTAAACTGCATAAATGCAGATTTCTATAATTTGTCTAATTATAGACTGTCAATAAGTTTCATTTTGTTGCAGATTTGTAAAACTAAACTTTTTAATGTGAGGCTTCTCTTTCTTAAGTTGAGCCCTTTTCCCAATTTACTGCCTGAAATATTATTAAACAAACTAAAGTATGTTAGGATTATAGAAAGTTTTGGGATCATACTCTGTGTACATAATCAGCATTATAATAGCTGCTATTTCTTAATTTCCTGTAAATGTGATTTGACCTTTTAATTTATAGACTTAAAAGATTCCTTTGGTCTTCTATTTTATATTTACTCAGCACTAAGTTTTATGATGCATCTACACTGTTTCCACTTTTTCAAACTCAAGATATGATTGGTAAAGATACTAGATATGATCCCTGATTGTAAGGAAGGGACAGTCTGGTGGAGAATAAAAATTCAGTAAATAAATTACCATATGTATTAGCACAAAAAAGGGAAAGATGGGATGATGTCTAATGTAGAATAAATTCAATTGGCTGCTCGTGGGAGAGTTAACTCTCCTTAAGGAGCTAAGATCTGAAGCAAAATAGCCAAAGATGGAGGAAAAGGAACATTTAAGCATAAGGACCAGGAGGATCATGGGCACTCAGGTGGGTAACAGCATGAAATGCTTTAGGAACTGAAGAAGTCTTGTGTCTAGTAGGTAATGAGAAAAGAACTGAAGAATGGATGAGTGTGGGATGAAACAGTGGTCTAGAAGGTTCAGGGGTTTAGATTTCACTCTGAATGTAGTTGGAAGTCTTCCATGCCAACTATACCTCCCTAACGTCATTTCAAATGTGTTCTACTTAAAACATTCAAGTGACAAAGAATTCTCCTAAAACAGAAAGATATAATGTTAACTCCAAAGTTGGAAGGAGATCAAATAATTACCCTTGACACACTTTATGAGAATTAAAGTAAAAAAGGACAATTTGATATGTTTATCTGGAAATTCACCCAGTCTGCTTTTTTTGGAGTATAATACAATGAAAAGACAAATCAAGTATAGAAGCACTTTCACAGTTTGCTAATGTAGGTAAGATAAAAGATAAAGGCCCTCCCGTTGATCGTCGATTTGCTCGAGCGGGCCCAGTAACGTCTCCATTGGAGACTTTGTTGTTACTGTGTTTGGCATATCGAATACATCACGGGGAGCTTGCCAGGCTCTGCCGTGTGGGCGAGATACTCTCGGTAGCTTGCCGGGCTCTCCGAGAGGGGCGGAGGAATCGAACTCGGGTCGGCCATGTTGGCTGCGTGCAAGGCAAACACCCTACCGCTGTGCTATCACTCCAGCCCGCTAATTGCCTCGCTAATGTAGGTGTCACTTGCTAAAGTAACGATTTCCTTATAGTTGTTTCCCTGAAGCTTTTGTAGCATATTTATCACTGTCCTCCCATTGTTCATCGTTTTGCTCAAGTGGGCACCAGTAACATCTCACAACAAATTGTGAGACTTGTTACTGTTTTTGGCACATAGAATACATCACAGGTAGCTTGCCGGGCTTTGCTGTGCGGGTGAGATACTCTGGTTAGCTTGCCAGGCTCTCTGAGAGGGGTGGAGGAATTGAACTCGGGTCGGCCATGTTGGCTGCATGCAAGGTAAATGCCCTACCCGCTGTGCTATCACTCCAGCCCATTGTAGCATATTTAGGAAAAATATCAATTGACATCCTGCTGAAAATTGAAGAAACATAATGTGAATAACTTTCAAGCCAAACTTGTAATTTTAACTAATTTATTATCTTTTTTTGAAGGATTAAATTATTTAGGGCCTGATAATTTGATTTCTTAGTTATATGGAAAAGAACTGAGGCTGGAGAGATAATGTAGGGAATAAGGCAGTTGTCGTACATGCCACAGACTCTGATTCAATCCCCAGTACTGCAGATGGTCCCCAAACCTTGTGAGGAGTGATCCCTGAGTGCAGAAGAAGGAATAAGCCCTGGACACAGCTGCGTGTTGTCCAGAACCGAAGGAAAAGAAAAGGAGGAGAATGTACTTTACATATTCTAGCTTGCTCATTTCAAAGACCAGCTATTAGTCTCACTTTAAATGTTTGAAATAAACATGATTTTGAATAACTAATTCCTCTTTAAATAACTCAAAGTAAGCATAATAATTTTTCTTTTTAGAAAAAATTTATTTTATCATAAAATAGTGACAAGTCAAAAGGTAGGGTTCAGGGTTAATGAAACAAACAAAAAACACAAAATAGAATTCAACTTTTCAATTTTTTAAACCAATTGGTTTATAAAATTCCAATCAGAACTCCTTTAATGCATTACACATATGAAAATATTAAAATGTGCAATGCATTAAAGGAATGCATCACGGGAGATAAGAGAACGTAGAAAAAGAACAGCTTTTTTTTCAATATGGGCTTTTTTTAATCTGAGACAGCAATAGAACATCTATAATCTAAAGACATAGTTCACAGTCCAATCTTTTAAACAAATACGAGAGATAGGTTAAACTATGTAATTTACTGATTTTAAGGTTATGAATACTTTTATTATTAAACATTTTTAAAGATATTATTTTCCAAAAGGGGAGTAAAGAGGTGTCATAAAAAGTAATTTGAGAGTTTATGAACATTTATTAGAGAGTATAGCGCCCACACGACAAAGCCTGGCAAGCTAACCGTGACATATTCAATATGCCAAACACAGTAACAACAAGTCTCACAATGGAGATGTTACTGGGCCCGCTCGCTCGAGCAAATTGATGAACAATGGGAAGACAGTGCTATAGTGCTATAGTTGTTATAAGATAAAAATTTCCAGAATGTGTGCTTATTTTGAAAAACCAAAGGGATTCTGACCCCCTCCCCTAATTTTAACAAGTATGACGAGGGTAATAGTACAGCAGGTGTGGGACTTTCTGTGCATTCAGGTGACACAAGTTCAATTCCCAACACCACATATTTTCCTCTGAGCCCATGAGGAATGACTCTTGAAAACAGAATCAGGGCTTAGTCCTAAACACTACCAGGTATTGCTCAACAACAGCAAGTGAACAGATAACATCTAGGTGCAGTAGAGTGATGCTTTACTGATTATGTCTTTAAATCAGTATCTTTGGTTCCCATTTTGGCCTAACCATTTTCGTTGTCACTTGAACTGAATTCAAATAACTTATAAGCTATGATGGAATTGTAGAATTGGTCCTGAGAACAAAATAAGAATCTTTCTGTCCTTTTAAATTTGCTCCAGAATCTTACCGTTGTGATATCCTGTGTCAATGATGTAGCTACCTCATAAGTGCTAATCTGAAAGAGCAATATTCTCTCCTTATTTTTCTGGTCAATAAAATCCAAAGTTTGCAAAAAGCAAAGGGTTTAGAGAGGCTGGAGAGTATCATGGACAGTCCAGCTGCCTTCAGCCAGAGGTTTTGTGGGACAGGAGCTATTATTTCAGAATAGGCAAAAAGCAAGGAACTAATGATAGCCCATGTGACTTTATCTCTCATGCTCACTTCAGCCAAAGGTCACTCTAATATCAAAGCCGGTGCTGATATGGCAAACCTTTCCTTCACCTAATGTATATTATCAGATGCTTTTAAAACCAGGTCAGCCCCATTTGGGATATGATCATTATGTAAAATAACTGCAAAAGTGTAGGTTTGTAAAATTACTTTGTCCTTTAAAATACCTACTTTTTTTTCAATAAAATGAATTGTTTTATGGCAAAAGCAGAGTCCCCCCCCCCCCAAGCATGCATACATTTAGTAAAAGGAGATATTCAGTTTTGACCTTCTAGAGCAAAACTAAGTGCTGTGGAATGAATTCACTTTTTCATAAACCTCTCAATCTAGCTTTGATGTGTTAAATGAAGGAAAAGAGCATAGATATATGATCCCTTGTTTGAATATTCTTTACTGACAAAAGTGCTAGCCTCTCTGAATTTTAGCACTGTACTTGGCCCCTTCTCTGATATAATCCTCCCAAATTGATAGATAATATTTTCTTCTACATCTTGTCCAGGATATTATGGCTAGTAAGTGGCGTATCTAGGTTCAAGCCAAAATCTTTGTCTCTGCAACCACACCCACCACTA